GGAAGGAAGGAAAACAGGGAGGGAGGAGAGTGGGAAGGAAGGGGGGAAGGAGGGAAGGAAGGAAAACAGGGAGGGAGGAGAGTGGGAAGGAAGGAGGGAAGGAGGGAAGGAAGGAGGAAGGAAGGAAGGAAGGAAGGAAGGAAGGAAGGAAGGAAGGAAGGAAGGAAGGAAGGAAGGAAGGAAGGAAGGAAGGAAGAAGGGAAGGAAAACAGGGAGGGAAGAGAGTGGGGAGGGAGGGAGGGAGGGAGGGAGGGAGGGAGGGGACGAGCTAATGCTCAGGCATTATGAATTTTCCTGCTGGAACTTGCCCCACTAGCTGGAAGCCAGAGGTTCCCTTTCGGGCAAAGGAAATTATATTAAAAACTGATGATAAAGCTGAGGAGCAATTGCAGCTCAACGAAGCCACCCGGCTCGAATGGCTTCTCCTCCGTAGCCCTCATTCTCTCCAGACCACTTGCCTCCTGCTTTTCCGTCTGCAAAACCCCCGAAATATAAGTCAGGACGGATCGGGTGCCGTTTTCTCCTTCCGGCTTCCGGCGGTTGTTGCCATTGTCGCTCGCAGTCCCAAATTTCTTTCCTTTGGCCTCCAAAAGGAAGCATAACTGTTTCTTCCTGGAGACAGGCGAGAGAGGGGAAAGGGGGGGAAAAAAAACCCCAGATTTATGAGTCTATCAAATCCCGCCGAGTCTTATCGCGGATCGAGGCACTTTTCATTTGCTCATGGGAATCTGATTTATCCGTCCCCTGCCTGTGTGGCCTTCACTCTCTTTTGTGCCAGAATTTCAGAAGTGCAACTGTTTGGGGTCTGGACAGGCCAGTACCTGTCACGCATGTTGGACAAATACCGCTTAGGAAACAATCTGCGAAACAGTGAGGAGCACATCTAAAACCAAGGGAGGGAGAAAGAAAGGGGAAAATTGGAGTGAAAAATGAAAAATAAAAACCAGATAATAAAGGACGGGAGGGAGGGAGGGAGGGATGAAAGGAAGGGAAAGGAAGGGAGGAAAGGCAGGAAGGAAAGGCAGGCAAGAAGGAAGGAAGGAAGGAAGGAAGGAAGGAAGGAAGGAAGGAAGGAAGGAAAAGGAAAGGAAGGGAAGGGAAAGGGAGGGAAGGGAAGGGAGGAAAGGCAGGCAGGCAGGCAGGCAGGAAAGAAGGAAGGAAGGAAGGAAGGAAGGAAGGAAGGAAGGAAGGAAGGAA